CACATAGCATAGCACTGGCATGACTCAGGCTGCTCTCTGCACTGCACCCAGACACTTCTGCTACTACCAGCTTATCCTGTCCTTCAAGTTCTTGCAGGTTTTTGACCAGAAGTCAAGACCCAGAGATAGGTACTGGATAGCAGAGCACAAGAAGCGTCCAAAGCAGAGTCAGACTCTGGATACGGAAAGCATCTGGAGAAACAGCCGCCTTTGTCACTGAATAGAAATTTATTGATGCTAACATTTCAGATATTGCTTGCTCCCAATTTGTGGTGTCATAACCTTGCTCAGAAATCTCTTCCCCCTTCAAATAGTAGATGAAGCTGTGAGCTTTAGCATAGTTATGCTTAGCTCTGCTTTAGTGCACAGTCCATGCTCTGTGCAGCTGATGCACAGCACAGGGGTCAGTGAGAGAACAGCCCAGCTCTGGATCCAGGACCCAAATGATAAGGCAGCTGACCTAGTCACTGGCAGTTTTATCTCAGGGTACTTGGAGGTTAAGACAGCTTTACAACAGCGTAATTACCATTAAAGAAGACTTCACCCTGCACTGAAAGCTGTGCATTTCATTGGCACGAATTTAAAAAGACCAAGATTTGGCACAGCACAATAGAACTGCACCAGAAGAGTTGACCCATGCAAAGAATGAAACGAGGAGACTAACGCTATCCTAGGATATCAGCCACAGCGAAGCAGGGTCTAAGTGCACTGTGTGATGGGTGCAGTCCAATAGCTATGGAGTTATCTGGTTTACACACTTTTAAATATACCCAGTTTAGTACTGTCTTGCAACCAAAATAGACATTTACAATTATATAACAACGATAAATGAGACTTATGTTGTGAAAGAGGAGATTGGAGCTAGTTTTGATGGAGGAGAGCTAGGAGAGGCTAAAATCCTTAAATTCAAATGAAACTTTCACCAAGACCAGAACAAAATAGCTGCACACAGAATAAGAACTGGAGCAAATTCATTATGATGAGACTAAAATAACCCTGCTTTGAAAGGCACAAACCCAGCATTGCTCCCTGGGCATATCTATTTGAGACATCCTGGATCTGAGGTCCTGGGAATGCCCAACAAATGCGGTTCTGTTGCCAAAATAAAAGGGGTAGGGGAGCAATGCAGCATACACAGTGCCACTGTCCAGGACTCTGCCAAGAGCTGAAAGAACATCTGCTGCTCCGTGGGAGTCGGGGTCTCACAGGACCTGGCTCCATGAGCTCCCTCTTGCTAATATTCATTCTATTACTGCATGCAGTGTGTAGCCGCCTGTTGCAACTACAGATCAAATGCGATCACCAGGTAAAAGCAAAAACCCCTATAAGGTTTGCAGGCAAACAAGTTTTTGCCTAAGCAGGAGAATTTCCAGGGCCTGAGAAAGCTCCTTAGATATAGGAAAAGGCCTTACTTACAAGTGTAGCAGGGTTGTGGTACTCACTGGATCTTTCCACTTCTGCACTCTCAAACCAAGAGGTCTGTGTGTCTGAGGCTGGTCTGCTCACCCTTGCTGGGAGGGAGACAACAGGACGTGTTTCTGGAAAGCATATTTTTCCATATTCCATTATATGAAGTTGAAATAGGGCTCATTAAGCAGCTGAAATCTTTGCAGGGTTTACATTGCCTTTTTCAGTAAGTGTTGCTGATGAGTCAAATGAACAAATCCCATTGGGTTACTGTGCAGCTGCTAGCATAAACCACAGCCACAGTCATGCCAGGGCCTGCACTTCCAGAGACGACTGGAGAGATCCACAGCCTGCTCAGAGGTGGAGGTAAGCAGTTACTACCTCTCTTAACTCCTTCCCAAACACTTTATTGCATCCAACCAGCATTTCACACAGCCCGCCTGTGCAGATTACACCTTGCAAAGCTAAAGAGCCTCGCTTTGAGAAAAGAGGTGCAGACAGACAGGCAGCTTGTGTTCCAGCAGAGCATCTGGTCATGGAATCTTTCTGGGAAGGTCTGTTCACCCTAAGCACAAGCCAATGGCAGAGAAGTCTGAAGACAGCTTGTTCTTTGGTCCTCCCCCTCAGCATATTTTGCACTGAAATGCTGTTGTCATGTCTAACCCAGAGATGGTCACACTTGGAGGAGGCAGCCGGGAATCCTTTCTGGAGGCTGGCACCCTTCCCAGCCCAGACTCCATGTTCAGCACTGTGCCTCAGTGAGATTCACCAATCAGTGCATGGGGTGGGGGGAATGGTTGAATCACGGGTGTAGCCAGCATGCAACCACTCCAGAGCCTCCTGCTGTTTTCTTCAGTTACTCTACCAGGGAAAGTCAAACCTCCACCAGTATCCAGGCCCCTGGAGCAAAGCGGTACGCAGTGTCCTCAGATGTATTTCTGCCCCAAGTTAAAGCTCTCCACGCTACCAGATGATGAGAAACACAGTGCTGTGTTCTCTGGCTGCTTCATGAGCTGCACTCTGAAGCTGGGAGCAAGCAGGGCTGGGACTATCTAGAAATATTTCTGTCTTCCCTTCCCATGCAACTCATCCAAATTCCTGCCTTTTCCCTGGAGATATGCTCCCATCCACCCACAGCTACACTTGTTTGTACAGGGCTCACAAGTGCCATTCCCTCATTCTTCCTCACTATGTCTACCAGGCCCACTAGGAACGAAGCTGCGTTCTGCTCAGGGTACCTAGTCCACCAGGAGAGCAGAGCAGGGAATCTCCCCTTCCTGGCCTCCCTTTTACTGCTCCCAGGGAAGTGCCCAAGCCCTCACTCCAGCAGCCTCAGCTGATTGTCCCTGGCAGGGAGATATCTTTAATACTGTTTAACCTAGCTCTGTTTGAACCACTACCACAAGCTCCTACTCGCATCTCACCCTGGTCCCATATGCAAACACTTGGCAGCTCCCCAGGGCCAAACAGTGCCAGTTTCTGCCAAAGTACCACAGCCCAGGTGTGAGCTCCCTTTCTGATAATGCTTGTTACCTATGGCAGGATCCTGGAGCTTCTTTCAAGAGCCCTCTCAGCCCTCCTCCACAGTCTGACCCTATCGGGGCTGTGTGTGTGGAGGGGCAAGGCTATGTGGAGCCACCCTGCCATGGGCCTGGCTTTGGTCCCATGCCCAGGGAAGATCCGCAGGTCCCAGCAGAATCCTCCCATTGGACTGATGTGGCCAGTTGTTCTCCTGTTTCCTAAAGCCTGGTCTCAATACCTCTCATCAAGCACCTTCCAGCACAAGAGACAAGACTCTCGTCCCATGGCTACACAGGCTGGGAGCGCCGAGGCTGAAGGCTCCTTCCCCACAACTCCCTCCTCTGCTAGACCTTGTATGCAGAAAAGCAGCAGGACAGGGACTGGGGGAGACCAGCATGCCCCCAACGTAGGGAAACAGGCAGAAGGAGGACTCTGCACAGTTCACTCAACCTGGGATGCAGTATGACACCAGGCATGGACTTTCTGCCCGCTGGGTGCTGAATTCTTCTTTTCAGAGCAAGGAAGGCCCTGGGGCCCAGGGGACCCCAGACCAGACCAGCTGCCCTGCTGTGTCTGTAACCCAGACCCTGACTTAACAACTCGGCCAGTCTTGCGTTAAACCAGCCCTTATTGGGGAGGCCAGAATACCACTGCTTTTCCAATCCCATGCATACTCTTCAGAGGAGCTCTTCCAGCAAGATGGCTCTACTGGGCAGGATTGCAGCCAAGTCCAGCAGTAGAGGAAGACGAGCAAGGCCAGGACACAGACAGGAGAACCGAGCTGATTGGGCCAGGGCAGGAGTGAAGGAACAACTGACTATGAGATGCTCCTGGCTCCCAGAGGGAGCAGGGTCAATGCTGGGGCTCTGGGGTCTCTGGCTGCACCACCATCACACATTCTGTCCCATTGCTGGTTGCCTCTCAGATTGACACTGAGCTATACCCACAGTCAGCCCCACTGGCACAGCACTGGCTACAGTGCCCCCATCACCTAGCCCTGCCCCTCCCACTACCTGTTTTCCAGGTCAGTGATGGCATGTCCTTGTTTCCTGGGCCAGCCAAGCCTTTAATGCAAGTAGAGAGGGTGACCCTTCAGCCAAGCAGGAGCTTTACCCCTTCCTGAGCTAAGCAGAGATGCTTGTTCCAAACCCTGGCTGGGCTTTGTGATCCATGGTCCCCTTCACGAGTGCAAGAAGCTCAGCCAAGTGCAAGGTTCTGCACCACACCCTCCACATGCTTCCTCTCCTCTCCCATCCTGGCACACATGGAAATGCCAGCACTATCAAACCAAGCCACCCATCCAGCAGTTAAACCCCTAGAAAAGCTGGCTTCTCCCTGTCCCACCCCAAAGCCCAGGGTTCTGCTCTCTAAGGCCAGACTTGAGAACCTCATCAGAAGATATACTGGGCCCCAGCACCAGACTAGCAGAGCCGGCCCCTTCTCCTGAGCCTAGCACTGCGAGTGGTGGGGGGGGAGTCCCTGAAAATTGAGCACAGAGGGAACTTCCCCCATTGCATTCCCCAGCCCTTTGTCCTCCCCACAGCCTGAGCACCTGGGAGGGAATGGGATCATGGACAGTACCTGGCTGGCATGGGCAGGGGGGCCCAGCCACTCAGCCACAGCGACTTCCAGCTCCACCGCTTGCCATCTCGTGGGAAGGAGCAGCTGCCTCTCCTGGAGAGCACACAGGGAAGGCAGCTGCTCCTCACTCGCACTGGAGCGGGTTCCTATGGCGATGCAGAATCAATTATAATAAAAGGTGGAGCACAGCAATTGGATCTGAGAGAAGTTTCGTGAGCTGCCTGGGAAAGCCAGGCTGTGGGAGAGCGCAAGGCTGAGGGCTTAGCCTGCCAGTCCCCTGAGCTATGGCTCCTGGATCCCAGTGCTCTCTCTGGCCACTTTGGGTGCTCCCAGGGCAACACACAAAGGTGTCCACCAGACACTCCCACTGTTCTTACCTGTACTTCCCAGCAGGCTCTCCAAGGCCTTAGGAGGAGTACGGATGACCTAGCTGCAAATCTATCTAGCACAAGCCTGTGCACTCCCAGTCTTCCCACCATCCACACCAGGCACGGGGGGAGCAAACCTAGCATGATAGTCTTTGGATAGGCAGCCCCTCCTCTTCCAGAGGCTGCAGTGACACAGCCTTCCCTCTGCATTGTCCCCCAAAGCTCCTTCCAATCCTCAGAGCAACATGCCTGCACCACTACCATGCAGAGGGGCATCCAGGGCCCCTCTCTGGGGCATTCCTGGGATCCTGAGGTGCACTGGAGCAAGCACAGCATATCTGCTCAGCAGATACACCCCTGTCATGCATGCTGTGCTCCCATTGACAGAGCCAGAGCTGGGCAGAGCAGACAGAGGGCCAAATGACAGATACAGGCAGTAAAACCAAGCCTCACTGCCTGCTGCACCCAGAACAGGGGACTGCACCTCCATGGAACAATTTAAGCAAGGGATGATGGAGGCACAGCTGATCATGAAAGTGTTCAATGGTTGAAGGACTATGGTACTGCAAAATCACACTACAGCCTTGTGTGCATCTTTTCACCCCAGGCTCAAAGAGTGACTCGGCTTTAAGTGACTGGAAGGCAAAGAGCTTCAGGGGTTGAACGGTGTCACACCCAGCTCACAGGGAAATATGCCCAGGCTCCAGGAGCTCTCCAGGAACCTGAGTATGTGCCTGGACCTGAACCAAAAACCCCACACAACCTTGCCATCTGGCAGTCCCTCCCAAGCTTCCTGAGGACAAGCTTGCGTCACCCACTCTGCCCACCTCTGCCTCCCACTGGCACACCTTCCCCACCTCTGCATGCCAGATCTGTATGAAGAAAATTGAGGACTGCATCTTCCCCTCTGGAAAGAAGCAATGGTAGCTTTGGAGCCTGGGCTAAGAAGATGCAATTTGGAGAAAGAACCAGCACCAGGTGGGAGGGGAGAGGTGAGCAGAAGAGGTAGGGCTGGCAACTATAGCCAGGATAGACTGCCTATAGCAGGGGCTGAGTCCTGACCCTCACCCAGCTCTGAGGGACACCCAGACCAGATTGTCTGCCTCTTTGTCCTGAATCATGAACTAAAAGATGCGGCAATAACAAGTTCCAGGTCCCCACTAGGAGGAAGTTAGAAAGTAAAGAACATCCTGCAAATAAACGCATAGGGACCCTGAGCTCTTGGCAAAATACAGTCTGAGCTCCTCCCAGAGTCGGATTTTATCATTTCCAGCCACTCCAGGAACACTCTCATGTAAGAAGGAAAATTGGGCCCTGGAAGCCAGACATCGCTTTGAATAGGGTTTCTCCCAAAAACCATCACTACTTCCGCCACCTACGCTTTGTGGCACCCAGTGAATGGCAGAGCATAGCAAATATAAATACCCAGGGAAGACAGCACAAAAGAGAGCTCTGGCCTTGGCCCACAGAGCCCAGAGGGCACAGAGGTGTTTCAGGAGCCCACAGACCTTTATGCCAGGGAATGAGGAGGACAGCCTCTGCTACCTCCACTGGAGAAAAGGGATTCATCCCTCCCTCCTCATCCAGGCAGTCAAGAGGGGTCAGAGTGGACCTCTGTCCCTCCACCAGATGTTGGAAGCACCTAGAAGTGTGGATCAGATGCCAAAGCTGCATGTAGCTGTTGGGAGCTCATGCATTCTCTCCCCATGTTGCTTCCTTTTTACAGTTTCAGCTATTTTCCCAGTGGAACATTCATCCTGCAAAAATTAATCACCAAACCACAAAAACAAACTCCTCTATGCTTAACAGTATCACAGGAGCCTAACTGTGATCCAGAGCCCCTTCAGCACAGTGCAAGCATTCCCTCTTCCTACAACAAGGTGATTCATTGTAAATCTGGAAATAACCATGCTATTGCCTGTGCAATCCTTCTGAGCTGCTAATTTAAATAGTTTTCCTGAAAGGTGCTGTGGAGAGCGTTCTTACACTTAATCAGTGCAGAGACACTGCTTGATGCCTAGGGCAAAGGGGAAACAGGCCACCTTAGTGGCCCTTCTGCAGAATTAACATTGCTTTGCTAATTGTCTGTCCTCTGGCAGGACTGGGAGTATGTGAATGTACAGAAACTGGAATAGTT